TTGTGAATATTTTCAGTGTTTTCACTTCACTAAATAAATACTTCATTGTAAGTTGCATTAGTGTGACACGTGTTCAGTTTGCCATGACCAAACCAAACATTTTACCATGGTGAGTTGTCCTTCCACACCTTTCCCCATGTGATTGGTGTGAAATGGATGATATAATACTTACTGATCAGTATAGATGGGGGCAGTTTCAGCTTTAGCCAGCTGACAGTTCCACAGAGCAGGAGGAAGAATTTCTGTTAAGATTTCTGTTCTCTTTTCATATGGGCAAGTTGGTAATGTCCTGATCTTTTATTACCTGCTTAGTTGTTGGGCAGGAGAGGATGTGTGGCTGTCGGAAACATCCCCTGTCTGAGCAGTTGTTCAATGAGTCCTCCAAGAAGAAGGTAGCAAGCAGGCTGGAGGAGTGAGGCAGCCAGGATCTAGCATTTGGGGCAGTTCTGAGCTATATTATGAGGTTGAATTGAGGATCCTGTAATGCAAAATCACACTTGTGGGTCTTTTAAGTTGCGGTTTGTAATAAGATGCCATGAACAAAAGCTAAAGGAACTTCTTTATAAGGTTTATCCTAGAAGATGAACCATTTGATAATGTTAGTTTATCTCTAATTGTTGCCAGCTGAAATTACAGCAAAGACAGAAGTCTTTGTTCTTGCAAGATTTTTTCCTGCATTTTCAAGTGCAAAGATGTATCTGTAGTTGCAGGCAAATTTCATCTATGAAGGGACAAATTTTACAGGTCAGAGGGGCTCTGAAGAGAGCCATAGTAGAGAAGAGTCAGGTTAGCAAGGCTGTTTATGAAAGTTTGAATTTAATGCAGTGGAAGAGGTAGCAAAAACTACAAGAAGTGCATGAGTGGTGTGGTCAGATCAGGCCATCTACAGCTTTACTGAAGCCTGAATGTGGTTCCTTGCCAAGAGCATTCAGTGGCTGTCAGTCAGCAGACTTATTATTCTGCAGACAGGATTATTCTGTGTCCTCCAGAACTGTGTCAGTCTCTCTGGTCAGTTACACTTCACAGCTTTTGAGGTGGCACTGTTTGCTAAGAGGCTGATATAAGATGTGTGTGGTGGGATCCTTAATCTTGGATGAGAGACACATCCAAGTCTGATTCTGAAATATGTCTGTGAAGACACTGGAGGGGAGAAAGAATGTATTAGGGACATAATTTTCATCCTAAGGTAGACCTTCTACACTGTTGCTGATGAGCTGCTTTTTAGAGCTCCCTGGTTTTGGCTTGGGTACAAATTGACTATAGCTAAGGTTTGGTGAGATTTCACCTTATGCTTTGTAACTGCAAGCATCTAATGTAAGCCTTAATGTGCAGTGAATATAGGTGATATCTTCTATATCCAGAAATTATAGGCTGTTTGAGTGCTTGTAATTTGCTGAGCACCAGTCCACGGGAAGGGTCCCAGTGTGCTGTGTAGGCACATCTTTCTTTTACTGAGGATTAAGGACATGGGGTTGAAACAGAACGGCAAACATAGTGTTACAGGGTATTGTTAGTTCTGCCTCTAATGTATCCTAAGGATCAAAAATACAGTTAACATAGTTTTTACTAATACAGTCTCCTCTGGAGTGCTGAGTCCAGTTCTGGATCCCTCAGTACAAAAGAATCATGGAGCTCCTGTAGGTAGACGAGCAAAGGGCAAAGAGTAGGGGATGGCAGCATGTCACTTGTGAGGGACCAGGGGCTTTAGCCTGGAGAAGACTGGGAGGGGATCTTATCAATGTGTATAGACTGAGGGGAGAGTGTCAAGAAAGAATCTGGGCTCTTGCTGGTACTGAACAGTAGGAAGAGAGGAAGTGGGCAGAAACTGAGGTACAGGAAATTCCACCTGAACATAAGCAGGAACTTCTTTAATGTGCAGGTGATTAAACCCTGCAACAGGCTGCCCAGAGAGGTTGTGGAGCCTCCGTCACAGAAAGTACTGAAAAGTCATCTGGACAGAATCCTTAATAACATACTCTAAAGGACCTGCTTGAGCAGGGAGATTGGACTGGGTGATCTGCACTGGTGGCTTTCAGCCTGACCCAGTCACAGATTCTGTGTGATTTGGTGGACATGAGTCAGCTTTTTGTCAAAGGAAATGCATTGAAATTTAAAAAAAATGGAATGCATGCGTAAGTAGGTAAGTCAGTTAAACATAAATGTGCTCTACTTCGATATCCTTAGTATGCTCAAGGCACAGAAATTATTTTTCTGCACACAACTGCAAACACAGAATTTTTAGTATGTTTCAGTGTGCGATGTGATTAGATTGTAGTTTCTGCAGCTTCTCCGTTCGATTTGTCAGCCTCAGATTGTCTCATTCAGATGCTTTTTGTAAACATTGCACGTATTGCTTCAAGACATACTGTGTGCATGAATTCCATCATGTTTTGTTACTTTATTGATCAGAATAACTCTTTACTGTTAGATAATCCCGTTAACTGTACAGAGTCAAGATAGCAAGGAAAGTGTAGGCAGTGTCCTTTCTTGCTTATCATTTGAATAATTTTCTAAATTAAACATATGCAAACTTATTCAGAGAGGGGAGCACTGTGAAAAGTCTCATTTGCCATTTTTGGTTGCTAGTAAAGGAAATAATGCTGCAAATAATTTGAATTCTTGAACTTCAGGTTCGGTTTGTTGGACTAGCAGATGTACCAAAGAAAGAGAGAAGATAATTGTTTTATAAGGTGTTGGTGTAAGTCAGTAAAAGCTGTCTTTGAATAAATTTTGCCTGTAATTAGCTCAGAATAAAAAGGAAAATAGGAGAGAAACAACTAACCCTCAACAGCAGCTTCTTGAGCATGTTGGCTTTCATTCTGTGGAGGAAACCATGGAAAATGTCCACAAGCATCATTTTAATTAATGTATTTCAAGAGCCAGAGGTTTTTTGTACAGACAGTTGGTGCTTGTGGCAGCCCAAACTCTGTAATGTGCCATGGGGTCATTTAGGCATTTTTGGGTTTTTCCCCTTTGGATGAGAATTTGTTAGTAAAAAATATCTCTCTATTCAGCTGCTTGTGGTTATAATGGGTATTTTTTTTGTGCATAGTTTGTCCTTCATGCCATGCCAATGATTAGATTCTTAAAACAATAATGAAGCACAAAATGTAGACTTCATTCTTGTTGACTGCATTTTAGGTTCTGTATGAAGATCCAGGGAGTGCTGAGCCAGCATCTTCAGAGAAGAGTGTGAATAAAAGGGCGTATACACACAAGACACATATTTCCAATTTTGCTTGGAAAGAAAACAGTAATAAGCATTTTTTTCAAGTACTGAAACATTTTTGTTTTACAAATATGCAAAAATCTCAAGGACATGGAGTTTAAATTATTTACTCGTAGCCTGTGCTTTTAGGGAAAAGTGCATTAATTTTGTGGAATTGACCCTACATTTCAGTGCTGCTTGTAAAGTAACCCTGTGTTTGTTGAAATGAGGAGCTAAGGTGATTTCAGTGTAACTGAAAAGCTTACACATTATTCTTTGTAATGCCATTGGAGACAGGTTGGTTTGGGAATATTAGCAAATTATTTGGATGCCAGGGTTTGAGCAAATAGGGAAAATCACATTTGCTTGGTACATTACATGTGCCGTTCAGTTTTTGGACTTGTGTATAATACAGTGTAAGGCAGAGATTGGCAGCTTTTCAGGAGTGAGGTGCCAGATTGTATTTTTCTTTCACAAATTAGAGGTTAAGAATGCTGGCTGAAAACATTCAAACACGCTGTCAGGCGGTGTTTGGAAACTGCTGGCTGTCAGCAGGCAGGATCCCACCCGGCAGCAGGCGGATAGTGTAGGGACAGGGCTCCCTGTCCCAGTGCTGCCGGAGCCAGGAGTGCTCTCAGCGTGCCAGGACTTCTGGTGCTCTGGTCCCTGCCTGCGATGCCAGGGTTGCATGCCTCTGGAAATCTACCCACCTCTGCTTTTGCCATGTGCACAGAGGATTGGGAGCTGCAGGCCCAGTAGGAAGCTATCCCAAGCATCTAGAATTCTCTGTTTTAATTGCTATTAGTGTGAAGTTTGACGTAAACTTCTTGTGTGTGGTTTTCATAATGTGACTCTACCGAAATCTTTGTTATTGAGACTTCTGACACTAGATGGTCAATATGAAACCAAAGCTAATCAATTGATCAGTAATACTCTCTTGTTCATTACATTTTTATAAAATAGGGACAAGCGTGAAGTTTTTTGTTGCAAGTTTTGAGGAAATAATATTTGAAACCCCTGAGCATTTGGAAAAAGATGGTCTTCGTGGAGTGATGTAGAATATTCTGATGTGTGTTGGTTTTGCATGCTGTATTAATCAAGAAGTAATTACAGCATGGGATAGTAACCTGTAGGCTTACTTTACTTTAGAATCTAACTTAGACACGGAGCTCTGGCTGTTATGTATGCTTAATAACTCTCAGGAGTACAAATTATCAGGTAACCTGGAGCCATCTCTGAACAGTGGCCAGCAGTTTATTCAAACCTAGTGCAAATGTGCATCAGTTTCTCTTCCTTTTTGGTATCATTTATACAAATGCACTGGTGTCTAGTGTGACATGGTTCAAGCTAGTGTAGCAGGTGTGGAAAACAAAAGTCTGATTACAAGCAGCTGTCTCCTGCTTTAGAACAAGGCTTATTGTTAAATTAAAAACTTTCAAATATAATTATGGCATGGGATTGTTACTGTGTAGATATTCCCAGAGTACCACCTCTGCAATCTGTCAGCATGTGGACGGTTGTATGATACTAGGTAATTTTTCTCATTTAGAAAGTACAAGTGGTTTCTACATAGAAAAAGTTATGATGAAAGTGTCTAAAATATTTTTTATCACTTCATATCATATCTCAGTTATTTTGACCATTATAACAAAACCTGGCATAATTTTCTTCCTTAAAAGCATACAAGTTTGTGACTACTGTGAATTTAGTAGCATGTACAAAATATTTAAAATATTTAGCAGAATAATTAATAATATACATTTTAAAGGGATTTCATGGTTTTTTTCCTCAGGAGCTGTGATCGTCTCCACTCCACAAGACGTGGCTTTGTTGGATGCCCACAAAGGAGCTGAAATGTTTAGAAAAGTCCATGTACCTGTAAGTCTCTACATGAAAAATACCAGTTGATTTTTCTTTTTCCAAAATGTTAAAAAAAAAAAAAAATCCATATGCAGCAATAGGTGAACATTCAAAAATCACTTGAATTTAATAAATTCTTGTTAAAAGGCTTAGCATCCATCTTAATCTGTACCAGGAACTTGGTTAGACAGAAAGGAGAGAATTTTCCAGGCTGAAGCCATAATAATAAATGATTTGTTTTAAATCTGTTTGTTTAATCATGTGGAATGGATCAGATTGCTGAACAGAATATCTTAGGAAGTAATGCATGCCTTTCAGTTGTACTGTGTGTCCTCATTACTTGTCCTCTTCAGCACTGTCTCTGTTGGAGCTTCAAATTTCATGAAATGTAAAAAAATCATTTTTTGATATTTTTGAAGAGGCGAACTCAAATTTTTGTGGAAATATGCTTGTATCTAGTTACTTTCCCATTTGAAGGTCTCTGTAACTATTGTGACAAGTAGAAGGCTGTCCAGTCATTGTTCTTCATGAGGAGTTTTCCTTATATCTTAGCTCACGTGTTTGAGAAATGAGAAATTTAAGAATATCCACAATTAGGAGAAAATATTAAACAGGCTAACATTCTTGACCTGATATTTTCTCTGGGTGCAACAAGTTGCTAAGTAACTGAATGTAGTACTCTAGAGTATGTTTACGTAGAGATTCATTTTTACTTTGAAATGGGCAGTTGGTGAAAGAATATGATTTGAAATGCTTCCTTATCATAAGCTGTAAGAAAAAATAAAAAGTTTTCTTGTTTACCTGTGTGAAGGTCACTTCTACTCTTTCTTAAGAAAGGAAGCTTTTTTTATAGCTAGTGTTTTCCTAATTAAAAAAGTGCAACAGAAAGTTGAAGTGAATGCTTTCCCTTTTTTTAATTTACAGGATGGCTTAACAAAAGAAATACTTTGATGAATTCCTTATTACTAACTATTCTTTAAGCATATTTGCATCAAAATGAAAGCATTGTGACATTTATAATTTGCTGCCAGAAGGAAAACAAGAGGAATAACACAGAGAACATTTTGTTTTGATTTTGTTTGGGTTTGCTCAAATGATGTAAAATGGTTTTCTTCAGTTTAAATTGTGTTCAAGTTAGTGCTTCACTGAATTTTCCTTTTGTTTTAATGAGAAATTACCAAGACTGTTTTCTAAAATTGTTTGATTCAATGTCCTTTGAAGAGAATAGCCTCCAAGAAAATTGTGCATTCATAGGATGGGCTTGGCTAGTACTGATTTGACTAGTGGAAGATAAGATAATAAGTACGATCTGTTTTGGTTCATTGGAATTATCAGATCTTGTCAAATCATGTGAGAAGTCACAATAAAGCTGTTACACCACATGTTGTGTTTGAATGTGCTTGAACCAGCTATCAGGCCTTACCTTTTTCATTACCCTGCTTTACTTTATTTTACCCTGCTTCATTTTATTCTGCCCTGTATGTACACATGTACAAATGTGTCAGTTGGTTGAGTCTTAGGCAGCTACTGCCTATGTATTACATTTCTAAATGTCAACTAAATATGAGGATCTAAAGAAAGTGAAGTGACAATTTTTCATGGACAACTTCAGACCTGAGGTTTATGTCAAAGAGGTGGAATCTGCAGGTCTGTGCTAAAATTACATATCCTGCATACATAATTAACTGATCTTCAAATTTCTAATGTCTAAAATCTTTCATCTTTCAGAAAGTGCTTGCAAAGAGCTGACTTTTCAAAGAAGCAGAGAGGCTATAGGTTGCTGAACTCTGAGTATGCCTTCCTGTTTTTAATGAACTGTGTCCCTCCCATGTACATACAGGCCTGTATCTTCCACCTTCCCCTCACACCCACCGTTATTAGTTGTCGAAGACTCAGATGACACGTGTAGTATTAACCCAGTAGAGTCACAGTTGTTAATGTTGTTTGTCCTTTATTGAAATTGAAGTAGAATGACTGAAGGAGCTAATGACTATCTGGCAAGGACAGTCAGCATTAAAACCAGGTTTACAGGGCAAAATTAATATTTTCAGTTTTAGGATACAGTTGCTAAAAGAGAAGTGGCATCTCTTGTGCAGTGGAACACACCTACACTTGCAGTGAAGAAACAGTTTGCCTAGTGTTGCTGACTCCTATCGCAAGTTTCAAGATTCTTGTCTGTTATGTGAGTTTGGTCAGTGTTTCCTTGCGTTCCTAAGGGTGACTCAAAGTGAATAATTTTGAGTATTTAGGAGAAAAACTGCCTTATTTCCACCTGCTGATGCTGAGTAAAGTTCATTATTGTTTATGTTATCAATCATATGTCTGAAAGAAAAGACAGGGTTTTAGTTAAATCTGCAATTTTTCTGGAAGTTTCCTTGAATTGAAAGGTTATGCCGTGGATTTTGCAGGTTTCAAAAAACTGCTTAGATAAACACAGCTATGTATTTCCTTCTGAGGTGTACTGAAGTGGCTTACTTTGCTATGTTCTTACTGGTATTTCTCAAGCATCCAGAGTAACCAAGCCACTATTATGGCTTCATGGTGGGAGCAGATATTGGAGACAGAAATTGCTCATTACAGGATGAAAGCTAGGAAGACAGAAATGTTGTGCATGTTCACTTGAAGCACTTCAATGCCAAGTGACTGACACAGGAAGTTGATGGCAGAGGAACTGTAACCCTGGTCACTTCAGTCCCCATCAGACTTCAGTCAGACCTCAGCACCATCCATCCTTAAGTAGAGTGAATGACTGCAGTGGGTTTCTCAGGGATTCTCTCCTAATGCAAATACAGAGAGCTTTCATTTCATCCCTGTATTTTCTTTAACTTAGAAGGTTGTATATTTGGATTTAATTGTGATTTATTGTGTATCCAAAAGGTTAGCTGAGCACAAGAAGTATGTAAACATTCAGAAACTGTGTGCAGATAACTCCTAATGAAAGGTTTCTTCATTTCCTGTTATTTCTTGCCAGAAGCCTCTTTGCCATTTAAAATAACGATTAGACTAAATGGAATGCAGCTCCATGCTGCTGCCATAGGTTAGCTCCTGAATTGTGTGCATCCAAGTTTTCATGTCGTTCCTGAGCCAAGTTTGCCAAGCTGAACAAGAACTAGAATAGAATTTGCAGACACTTATGAAATAGTTTGTGTAGACAGTAACAGCTGCTTTGAAGCTATTACAAGTCTATTTGAGCAGGAAAATGAGGGTTATTACTGACTTCATTAGCCAGACCTATTATTTTTTAGATTTAAAAGCTCTGAAGGTCATAAGGAGCTCACTTCTGTAAATATATGTGCAGAAATAATGCATGGTAAAAATACACTTCAGTAGTAAAGCTGTGTATTTGGAAATATTCTATTTTACTCAGTATTTTTAAATGATATCTTTATATTCCAGAAGAATAAATTATATATTATTAAATATGCATTATTTATTGGCTGACAAACAGGACCAACACATAAAAATGAAAATTATTATATAATGCTGAAATGTCATTTCCTTTTAGTAAGGTTTGTTTAAATGGAAACAAAAAAGGACAGTGTGTAAGGCCTCTAAAACCGGTCTGGCATTGGAGCTGTATCTCAGCATTTGCTTTTGTATTGGCTGAAGGGCTTAGTTACTAGGTTATGAAAATATTAGCAAAACAGCTGTAATAATGCTTAACTAGTCACAAAACAAAAGTAGACTACTTTTTAGTCTACTATTAGTAGACTAGTCTTAGTACACTAATTTTTCTTGGATGATAAATTTGCTGAATCTTAAATGTTGTATGAGTATTTGAAGGGGACAGAAAGTTCAAACCCCAAGATACCTGAAAATGAATTAATTAAAGTGTAAATTTCAAATTGCTTTTTTTTTTTTTCCCTGTGTGCTTTCAAAAATGGCCTCCATATATCGTGGTGAAAATAATATTGTTCTTTTGTCAAAAATACACTTTTCAGTGTTCTTCAGTTTACCGACAGAGTAAAAACTCCATGACTTGACTTTAGGGGAGAGCAGGATGAATGCCTCCTTAGAGGTCATCCGTAGAAAGCTGTGGCTGTATAGGTCCCTTTTTACTGTCCCTGCACCTTGTACCCCTGGATATGTAGTATTTCATGTCTCTACTAATGTAAGAACTGGATGATAAAATGATCTGTAATAATGTGCCAGTATATAGAATCTTGTTCCACTTGCTTCTCTGACAGTCCCTGGGAGAGAGTAGAAAAGGGGGAAAATCAGTTTGAGGTGTTAAATTTTTTTTTAACATTTTAAAAAAAATATTTTTGAACATATTATTTCTTAAAATGTTTCTTGCTTTAAATCATCTGAGAGTTTTACATAAGTAAAGGAAGATGTAGCAAATATACTTTATGGTGGTATAGAAAAAACAGGTGACCATCTTTTAATAAATTTCAGCTTATAGCTAAGGAAACTTCTAGTATTATATTGTAAATAACATACTTATTTATTTTAAATTCAGTGCCAGAAGTTGTACATTCACTTTTAATTAAATATATTTGTTGGTCACACTGAACACTGCTGTTTCCTCCTAGATAATGCTTCATTAGCATAGTGGATATGTTTCTTCTCTGATAACTAGAAACTACCTTGTTCAAGCACAAAACTAGAAGGTTCAGGAAAATGGAGAAGTAGAAAATGCTACAAAGTAAATAGCAATATAAATGGTGTATTCTAAAACTCAGCTATAGTGTATGTGACATATCCAGGTAATATATAAATCTGAAAGTGAAATGTTGTAACATTGCATCTCTTAAAGCAGATGTTCTGTTCCTTAGCGGGTGGATACAAACTTCCACCCTGTAGCATTTCAACACTGTTTTCATCACTTCTGGAAATGTTGCTCTCCCTCAATGCAGAGTTTTGTTTACTATGTGAATAAAATGAGATTATTAGCATTATTTCACATTGTGAAGGAAGATTTTTTAATGTGAATGGCTTGGCAAATTTTGATTTGACATATTTTATAAAGATGACGTTGAAAACCTGGCATCAATGGAAAGGTACCCAGGATGTGTGTATTAGATTTTTATGCTATGGGTTTTTCCACTTACTTTGATATAATTATTTCTATTGTTTGACCTTTAAAATGTGTTTCTGCTTTGCAGAAGGATAACAAATCTGGTTCTTTTTGAAAACATTTCCCTACAGGATAACTTATAAAAATGCCTTAAAAGCATGTCCGATTGTGTAATTTTTTGTAATGGTATGTTTTTATTTTCTCTTTCATGAAACTACAAACTGTAAATCACAGCATAAAAATTCTTCCAATGTTCAGAGTTTGAAAATGAAATACTGGCAGGGAGAGTTCTTGGCAAGTTAGGTTTGTGCAAGAAGTACTTTTTGCTACACATAAGGCTAGTAGTCTTCAAGAGGTATAAATGTGAAGATATTGAATAATGCACAGATGATGGTGCCACTGAGATGACTAATAAGAGCTGATAATGATATTAATGAGTCTGATTCCTATTTTAAATAATCACTCTGTGTTGGTTCTTAGTGGATAATCTATTCTACATTATCAGAGATTAATATGGAAATACCAGTGCTTTGTTTGAGCAGTTGTTCCTTTCCTTTCCTTTGACAGGTTTTAGGACTGGTTCAAAATATGAGTGTTTTCCAATGTCCCAAATGTAAGCATGAGACACATATTTTTGGAACTGATGGCGTAAGAGATCTGGCAAAAACCCTTGGATTGGATATTTTGGGTAAGAATATGGAAATGGTTTTATTTTTGAAAAAAAATCTGATGGTGTGCATGAGGCATTAACTGAACGATGAAACTGCATGATCTTAGGTTACTTTGGATTCAGACTGTTTTCAGATATAATGGAACTAATAAGTAGTATGCTGTGTTCCTTGTCAGTCTTGTAATGGTGATGTTGACTGCATATGAAAATTCTTGAATTGCCTCTTAAATCTTTGCATTTACAAACAATCCAGAACATGAATTGTTTTGATATCAATGTGCTATGTTACCTGAAATTCATTATGTGCTTGTCTATACAGCAATTTTTACAAATAACCAAGAATTATATTTAGTCTTAGGACAGATCTAAACTCTGTCTAGTAATATCAATAAATGTTTTCTCAATTATTTTGTTGCATATTGACTCAGTGGAGGCCTTGTAGGAGCTTTCTGGTATGTAAACGGGTCTTAAAAGCGAGCTGGAGGCTTTTTACAAAGGCAGGCAATGATAGGGCAATGGAGAATTACTTTAAACTGAAAGAGGGTAAATTTAGATTAGATATTAGGAAGAAATTCTTTACTGTAAGGGACTGGCACAGGTTGTCCAGAGTTATGGGTACTCCATTCCTGAAGATGTTCAAGGGCAGGCTGAGTGGGACTCTGAGCCACCTGCTCTTCTTGAAGGCGTCCAGGTCCACAGAAGGGGACTTGGAACTAAATTATTTTTAAGGTCCCTTCCAACTTAAACCATTCTGTTATTAGCTGTGATTAAAGTTATCTGTCATGCCTGTAGGCTAAAATATACATGGATCTTTAAAATACACATTACTGATTTAAAAAGGCATGGTTCAACCTGCGCTGTAAGTAAAGAATATAACACAGAGTAATTAAGTTGGTAAATGGGGTAATTGCATGTGCTAATGATGTGTTTCCATGTATTACTCTAATTATCTCAATGATTTTCCGTAGCTAATTCATTAAGAAGAGCCAGGAAGCTCACTTAGAAAGATCAACACAGAAACATCAAGGTCTGACATAGACTTGAGAGAGCAAGGCAACACATAATTAAAGACATGCTTTTGGGCTATCTTTTAGTTTCCTGAATATGTAATGAGTTGTGATCAGAGCCCAAAGGGACTTCTACAGCCCTGGGTTATGTGGATGGATGCAAATGCTCTGCAAGCAGTTGAATCAAACATGCATTTAGATACACAGGCACAAATGATGTACCGTGGCATTGGTCCCATAGCTGGTTTTTGTTATTTCCTAAGAGTGCAGAACTGATTGTGATTGGATTTAATTAGGAGTGATGTGAGAGATGTACAGATTTAGCAGGGGATAGATGAGATGTACAAAACGAAGCAGAGTGAAGTTTAACTTCAAACTGTCAGTGCAAAACAAGACTAAGATAAAGAATAATGCCCCAAGAGCTAAAGTTTGAATTACAGTACTTGATCTGATTAGTGTGCTCCTCCTTCCAGGAATGACCATTACGTAATAATACCATATGGCATTGTAGGAATTACTGCTTATCCATCCCAAATGGAAGTTTTATCTCAGTATTACTTGAATTCTGCCCAAAAATCTTGAGAACATATTTTTACATATATATCTGTAAAGTGCATGTATTTCAAGTTAGTAATTCTAAATTTATTTTGCCTGTATTTTCTGATACCTGTGGCTGTTCTGTTTGTTTAGATAAGCACCTAGTACTTCTTGGAAATGCAACAAGATGTTTGTCACCCCACATCTGACAAATTCTGCAAGCTAAGAGTGTGCAGGATTGAAAAGTGTCATCCTTCCTCTTGCTCAGAGTTAGCTGTCATTAGTATTACTGAATACCTTATTTTTGTTTATGACAGAAGACAGCAGTTACCAGGGGACTTTAAAGTGAAATCAGTTATTTCATATACTTCTGACTATCTTGTATTTTTACTGTTCTCTAAAGAAATATGTGACAAGGTTTGTGAGAGAGACTTTGTGCTGCTGATTTTTCTCTTCCTGTCTTTGAAATTTTTTTCCTGAAGTTTGAGGGCTGTAACCGTGACCAGAAAGCTATGCCATTGGTATGCATGATACTGAGATAATAATTTCTGTGTGTTCCATCCTGACCTTTGCAATTCCTGACTTGTTTAACACTTTCTGGTTCCTGACTGTCAGCAGTGACTGACGGGTTTTAAAAATTCTTTGATTTTTCTTCTTACAGTGAATTTGAATTATTCTTTCTTTGCAGTCAGCAGTAATTGTTAATATCAGAAAAACTTACCCATCACATTGGGTAGTGAAGAATAGTGCAAAAGTTTTATCTTCTCAATCCCTTACCACCCAAACAGCTATGCAGATGGTTTTGATGTCTTCTGCTTAAATTAATTTTTTAAAAATTATAATGCATTTTTCTTTATTTTCTGAGTGCACTTCTGTTCTTACAAGTCCTGTATGCTCCTGTAGTACCAGCACATGTTTGTAAGTCTGAGGAGGAAAAGAGAGAGGCTGCTATTCTCTTAATTATTTGAGATTGTTATTAAGCTGGTGTTGAGGAAGTGTTTTTTCATTGACAAAACATCCTTATGAAAAAAGAGATTAGTCTCTATATACAGTAAGAGTCGGAAGTGAATGTCAGGGAGATGTACAAATTACTGTTATTCAATTAAGAATGTTTATGGTTAGAAAACTTTCGGAGAACTCCCTGAATTTTTTAAAAAAATGAATACAGGAACAGACTATTATACCTAAATTTATTAATGACTGAAATAAATAAGAAAAAAAAAAGAGGGAAATGGACTGTAATTATCCTAAATAATAATAAGGTTGTTCAAATATTCAGCACGCTAATCATGGAGCTACAGCTTTTGTGTTTACTATTCGTTTGGTTTTGTTTGTATTCCTACTTGGTTTGGGTTTGGTTTTTTTCATTTCTTAAAATTTGTCAATTTTCCTACAGTTTTTTTACTGTTTCTTTTTCTGAATACATTGAATCTCAGTAATTTACAATGGCCTTGATTTGAGTTAAATCAGGTTGCTAAAATGTATGAATTAAACTTACACGATTTCTGATGTGTCAGGATTGAACTAAGGTAGGCTGTTCTGTCTTCGTCTACCCATAATGTAAAATGTAACTATGTCTTCCAGTAAAGGAAAATTGGTCTTCAGTTTACTTCAAAATTATTTATGTAGCAGTAAACATAGGAATCTCCCAAGTTTTTTGTAGTGGTGAAATCTGTGTGTCAGAAAGTATGTCTCAGAATGGAACAGGGCTGCTAATTGATTCTCCTTTAGAACGTTCCTTTCCTCTCTGGCAGTCCTCTGCTCATTATAAAAGCAGAATATAAAGAAGATTTCTGTTGGAAAGAAGAATGAACTGAATAGCTGTCCACCTTTTAATTGGGTCCAAGGCCTAATAAGGACAATAACAAATGCTATTATTTGGAAATTAAGTATTCAAAGAAGTCTTTGAACAGTGATTAAAGTCTTAAAACAGCCCTGAAAAGAACTCACAATGAGGAGATAGGCTAAACAGTAAGTTGCATGATGAACAGTTGCCTAACACTCAGGCAATTTATTTCACATAAATAAAATAATTTGTATCTCAGTCTGTATTTTTCTGTGTTTGAGGCAAAAAGCCCTTGCTTTTCTAATAAATGACTAAAACATGGTCCTTTCTATTCAGAGAATGAAAAATCCAAAATGTGTTTGGCGTTATTCATTATGGATGTAAGGAAACTCTACTGCAGCCAATTTTCATTTTAAATGCTATATTTTGGAGCTAAAGCAGTTCAAAGAGTATACTGAATGGGAATTGGATTTCAAGTTGCTTTAGGGTTATATTTAAGAAATACTAGGTCTTCACATATGCGTGTCTTGGTATTTTTTATGCAGGAGACGTTCCACTGCACATCAATATAAGGGAGACGTGTGATTCAGGACAGCCTGTTGTGGTCTCCCAGCCTCAAAGTGATGCTGTAAGTTTGGTGCACTGCACTTAGTACAACAGAAAGCTCTCCTCTTTCCTGTGAAAGTGAATGGAGACTGCTGCTTCTTATTGCTGTTTGGAAAGAAATGGGTTTTTGAATGAAGTAAGGAAATAAAGTAAAAGAAGGTAGTCCCAGTAAGTAACTCAGGCCCTTTATTTTGGAGTGCTGGTCATCTGTTCTGCTTCTGTGAGTTTGGTTTTGTTTAGTTAGGCTGAATCATTCAGAATAGAGAAGATTTGATCCAGGTCCTGGCATGCTAAGAGGAGGAAGGTCAGTGTCAAGCCTCATGAGACCTTGCAGCTAATGTAGGTCCTCTAAAACTGTCAGTTAAGCCTTTGGTAGCTGAGTCTGGAAACTGTCAAAGGGTCTTACCCAAAGATGTTTGGAACAAAACTTCATATTGTCAGTACTTGGGTTGTTTTCATCAGAAAGTGGAGCAATTTGCACACAAGAGGAAATGGATTTTTTCAGTGTATTTACCATAACATTCTATTGTCAGTGGAAAATGCAGGTTGGTGAGGTGGTGGGAGTCAAATATGCAAATCTGTAAAGAAAAGTAGTTGCACATATAGAATTTCATTAATGCTGACAGAGTAAGATTTCCCTGTCTATTTTCTTTCTCTGCTAGAGTTTGTCTGCCAGGCTCTGTAGGGCAGGGTGCTGTACAAAGTATATGGCATAATACAGCCCCACTCTCGACTGCTGCTTAGAGATAAAGATATATAGTGAAAAAAATTATTAATATTGATAACAGATGGTAGAATCAATTCACAATAAGGTAGACTGTACCTATGGAACATTTGAATATTAGCTTTTTCAATGTCATGATTGCTAGGCATGTGCTGAAATGTGTTTTTTGCCTTCCCAGTACTTTAGAAGGAAACAAAAAAAAAGGGAGGAGAACATGAACATTGTTAATCCAGTGATATTGACATACTGAACAGGATTCTGGAAGAACAGTGAGAGTCTTAAAATTGTAATTTTGTTTTGAAAGAGAAGAGGTGTGTTGACTATGGTGTGTTGACTTCTAATTGAATGCCATGTTTTTGCTAGGTTTGGGCAATGCCCATAGTATGGAATAATGTAGTGATCTTGAGTCCAGGTCTATCTGAAGAGGAATCCCTATAATCCATATGGTGGCTTCTCTCTGGGAGGTTTGATCAGCAGTGTGAGGGTTTGAAAGGACGTATGGCTTTGGTCAAAGCTGAAGTAAAACAGCTGGGAAATTAAGGTGGAAGGCTCATGGTATCTGAAATCTGTAATAACCAAGAGTCTGTAGCCTGCTGGACTATTGAGCGAAGAATTCAGACATGTATGGGACAGCATTCTGAAAATAAAAAGGCAAGAAAGTCTGTTGTGTTGCCATCTGTTCCTCCTTGAACTATGTTCTTGATAACAAAAGGGTGGGTTATAATTACCATTTGTGGCAATTAAGTTAAATATGCAGAGGAATAAAGATTGACAAATATGTGTGACTCTGGGGAAGACTCAATATCCTTCTCTGCCTTTGTGTCTGTGAGATAGTAGTTCTCCTCTGAGAAATGTGTTTTTTAAAATGTCACAAATCTCTGTAGAATTAAAAATATTTTTCCTTAATCCCTGGTTTTCTTCTCATTTTAAAGATAGAAAAAACATAATTCTTGTATTTTCAAAAAAAAATTAAATTCTTCGCACATAACTGATGGTGGGAGAGGTCATATAAGGTCAAATTCTAATGTTTAATACATGACACTCATCACCATGTTTCTCAAATAAACTGAAATTGTGGCTATTCATGCATTAACAACTTTTCAGATAGAGAACAATGTCTGCTGAAATTCTCTGTTCTTGTTGCTTAAATGTGCAGGGGATTTTCATACAAAATTCTATGCTGATTTTGTTAGAACACACTTACAAATCAAATACAGAATCGTAGACCTGAAATAATACCTAGCAGATTCAAACAGTAGGGAATAGGGATGGTGATTGACTTCTTAGAAACTCAGCATGTTGTCACACCTTTTGAGCTCTTTCAAGCCTAGAATAAAATGGTTTCTAAAAAATGTCAGTTAATACATTTTTGCTTACACATCTGCCATGAGGTTCATCCTGCCTTGCAGATATATAAAAGTATACCTCTGACTATACACTAGAATTTCAAAATGTCTAAGCAAACTTGTCTAAATGTATTGTTTTAAAGCTTAGATGTAGTTGGTGGAAAAGGGGTTTCCTTTTCACGAATGACAAGGAAATTACTAAGAACTAAAAAAGGAAATTACTTGCAGAATGGAGCATGTGTGAACTTAGAAGGTTCTTCCTCAGGGAAGGCACAGAATACACAAGACTAATCTGCTTATGGAAAGTATTGACAATATAGCTGAAGGATAGGATGGTTTGATGACTGGAGTTCTCTTTTGGTGAATCTTGAGGCAGTCCCCTGGGAGAAATAACAGTGCTGCTAAAATGATTTTTTTCTTGGTATAACATAGTCTGTGTTAGTGTTTCTGTCAGCTTAGTTGTTTAAACTGTGGCTTTTTTGGTGGCTTTTTCTTAATAGTCTTTATTGATAAAACTTTGTAGAAGTGGAATATTGCTGTACTTGCATGGTCAGCCTAATGCAGCAGCTGGGAGTGTCCCAAGATCCTCTACAAGAAGCTTATAATTTTTTACTTTAATCAACAGTGAGGGCTTACCTTGCAGAGTGAGACCCTTCTGGAGATTAACTGAGCATTTTTCTCCTCCATCACACTGTGGAGGTGGATTAGCTAGCCAAGGCTTCATTTTTTTGCTCACTCAAACAGATGCAAGAGTCACTGGACAGCAAAAGCTGGTAAATGAAAATCAGGAATGCTGCTAAAATGGTAGAGCTGGGGAAAAAGGCAGGAGAAAAGGTAGAATAGGGAAAACTAATGAGGAATCACTGAAACCAGGTGAAATTGATCGTGCACAGATGTACTGATCTTCCTATGGACCATGGGAAAGGAGCCAGCAGCAAAACAGGTGTTTGGGAGAGGCATCCTGAAGCGTACAGGTAAGAAGACTAGAGGCACAGCAAGAGATATAGAACATGATTAATTGTGGTGGAATTATTCTTCCATCAAAGGAGCTGCTTAAATGCCCAGTGAACTCTCCATCACACTGGGAGAAAGATAAATAGAGGTTCTTGAGAGCTCTTCCTTCTGTGAGCATAAAGCCCAGAGACTTATGGAGCAGTTGGTGGTTATGTTGTGAGGAATTCCTGCTGGAAACTTGGGGTATATCACAGCCTGGATGGCACACTGGATTTATCAATACCTGGGCAGAACAGACAGGCCATCTGTGATTGCTGAGCACCAAACTCCCACCTATCACCTCCCACCTCAAACAAGTCCAAAATACATTTGGTGTACCAGTATGTCCATTCGCATGCTGTATATACAGGTAAAGGATTTTGAGTCAAATAAGTTGCACACTAATTTATAAGGGAAGAGAAAAAGCCCAGTCAGGTGGAAAGCAGGGGCAAAAGGCATCAGCAGTCGGATGGAGCAGAGCAAAATAAATTAAATCAGAACGTTACAAACCTTGCTATGGTGTCATCCAAACAGACAACTCAAATTTGTATTCAGAAACACTTTTTCTGTAGAATGCTTATGAAAAGGTGATACATAAGTAGGGTAAAAACATGCAGCCTTTTAAACATTGCAAGGAGTAGTTGGAGAAAAATTTAACTACTGGTAGCAAAAAGTCATAGAATCCTGTTTTGTGGTTTAGTTGTCATCAGTAATTCTGCTTAATGAGTGGTCAATCCAGGGTGTGGTATTTTTAAAAGAAAAGCAAACCCTAAAGAAAGCTGCATGGTATGATTTATAATATGCCTTTATCATCAAGGCTTCCTTTGAATCATCACAGTAGCATTTGGTGCGTGTAGGTTCAAGTCCTTCATTCAGGGTGTAGACAGTACAATGCATCATCAGACCCTCATTTATGGTTCTGTCTGCTGAAGAAAATGCCGAGTGTAGGATAGTCTCTTTGAAGGATGTTACTGTATTGCATTTGATTTGTGCTGTTCTACATAGCCATGTTTTTTGGGCAGGATGTGTATTTAGATGTCTGTAAGGGCATCTTAGGTTAGCAGTATTACCCAGCTGGGTCTGCCCCTAAGAATGTTAAAATTGCTGATATATAGGATTAATAGGAAGTTTCCCATGGGCACTGTGGATTTTTCTTTGAGATTTGCATTTTGTAAATCCAGTTTACTTACCAGTCTCATCTATTTAATGTTACAATGTATGGATTGACTTCTATTGTCTCAGTAAGTTTGCCTTTCTGACTTGAGACTTCATTGTAATTTGGCAAGAGTTGCCAGTACATGCCGAGAAGAATTAGCTTGTGGAGCTGCCCAAAGGAGGGACAGAATGGGATAGTCTCTGGACCTCTTGTAGCAACCAAGAATTTCTCTGGGTGGCATGAAGCTTATAACTGAAGTAGTCTTATTTAAAGCTGCATCATGTTGTCATCATGTTTTTAGTGCCTTGAGTTGACCACAGTAAAATAGACATTGGAAGGCAGCTCCAGTCTTGCACTGAAGGCTAGCATTGTGTCAAAGTAACAAGCAATTTCCATGGAAATTAAATCTATTTAAAAATCTGATTGAACTGGCAAATGGAACACAGTTGTGCAGAGAGTGCTAAGAACCAAAGTAATCAATGACAGGCTGGCTATGCTTATTTTCATGTAGATGATAGCTAAGACTAGTATTTGTCCTTGTGATAGTCGCTATTTGATTAGTTGCTCATAGTGGCTAGTTTCCTTCAGCAATTAATAAATTGTAAACCCTAATAGGTCAGTTGAGCAGATTTAAATTCCTTTTCCTTCTTTACAGGTATACTAGCATCCACAGCATTTGATATTCCAGGCAGTCAGGACTTGAACAGATTCTCCTTTGGATTGCTGAGCTGGATAAAGCAGTTTAATAGTCTTGGAGCCTTGTAATCAGAAACACACATTAGAAACCATGTCAGTACTGGGATTTATATCCTGTGTGTGAGGATGAGGCCTATAACTGAGTGATGGGATCAGTGTGTGTTTCTGAGTTGCTGGTCTCAAGTTGTTTGTATGCAGTGGTTTGGGTGAAGGAAAATGTGATATCAGCTTCTACCTGCTTTTACTTTGTTGATTGTAAGTTGAGTTCTGTGTGTGTGTGGCAGTTGCACTGTAGTGAGCTGTTGGCAGGCTAAGATCTGCACTCCAGTGAAAGCAAACCTGCAGGTCAGGCCACACCAGTCCAGTCCATGACAACAGGGCAGAGTCAACCATGCCCTGTACAGTCTGCAGTAATCTTAGTAAGGTTTTTAGGGAGAACGAAATGCCGTAACTGAAAGGCTAATGTTTCCCTAGGATTTACTGTAGGGCTTAATTAGATGAGCTAGTAAAAAGTTTTCAGTTTAAATCTACCCAACATGTATTATTCCATAATAATACAGATCCATTACAGAGTGATCAATCAGGATGTTCTGATTATTTATGCTAAGTAGGACTTTTCACTTCATGTCCTCGTGAACTTCTTTACAGGTTCTCTGTTTCCTACTCCACTGTCTATGCTTTCCTGAGTTACTTCATTGTCAGCTGTGCCCTTGAGGTCTTAAGAACTGTGCCCTGCTGGCACTGTGCCACTGTTTGAGAGGGGAGCAGTCTCTCACGTGGCTGTTTCCCTGCTTTTTTTTTGACCCTGTGAGCATCACCTTCCACCTCTACCTCTGCCTGTCCTAGTCCTGCTCTCAGACCCCATCTAGGCAGTGTTCATAATAAACAAGCCTGGGTTTAGGGCATTCTGTCTTCTTGCGCGCTTCTTCATCCTCGTGAAGTGGGAGGAATGATTACTGGTATGTTGTTGTTAAATATAAAGTTGTCCGTCAGCAAAAAAATGGTTTTCAGAAAATCTATAAACCATTCATTTAGAGCTTTCAAACATGAAGGGAGTGACTCACCTGAGAAGTTTGCTTTTATCCTCTTAATGTGAAAAAGGTTATGGGTGATGAGTAAGAACTCATCCTTTATTCTTTCTCATCCTTTACTCTTTTTCTGCTGGTTTTCCACCTTGAAAGGAAATAGTAAACCCTGTCCATTTTCATTTGCAACCCAACTTCTTTTGCGTAGTAATGATGGATTAAACAGCTGAACTGAGCTGTGCTCTCTGTCTACGGATGGCACATTGAAAAGATCATGAGTAGGAAAAGCTATTCAATAGACATAGGGTTGTTTTTATGTAGTGCATATTCACAGTCACCAAGATTCCATTTAGACCTTTCAGGTATGTTGATTGATAGACAGGTCCTCACTCATGGCTAAATTTGTTCAAAGATAGAAAACCAAGGCTCAAAATGGTTGATTTTTGCCAAAGCCAGGTGACTGGTAGAGTTCTGCAAGGACACATATGAGATACTGGTCTGTTCAACAGACAAAGTAGTGATCCAGGAAAACAAAAAACCCAAAGGTCAGCAGGCAAGACACTGGACAGTGTCTAGTTATGCTGGAATGCTGGCTACAAAAAGCTGCATCAGGAGCTTCCTGTTGCAAAATGGTGATCAACTGCGTGGCAAATGAGGGTCAGTGTACATTGCTCAGACACTCATTAAAAGCATTTTGTGGGAAAAGTATCTAAAACTTATTGGGCTCGTGACATAATGTAACATTTATACAAGCAGTTGAGTGTGCTTACAGTGAATTTATAGTTCTGTGTACAATTGGGTCAACTCTGGAGTAGGCAAACAGCCTGGGCATTCTTTAGAAGGGGCCAGGTACTATATGCAGGTTGTTAATTGACTCATTAAAATGCATGAATTGATCTGTGCAAAGTGGGAGCTGCCTGTGGGACTGTTCCAGATAGTTTGAAATTCCCACCTGAAGTGCTCCTACACCAATTAGTCAAATATTGAACTGCAAAGGCAGCTTGACTTCAGTCAGTCACCTCACTTCAGGTGCGTCCATTACCTTGTGTAGGCAAGTGGTTAATTGGGGGGTAGCTGGACCACCCAGGGCATTACTTGCTGAGTGAGGTGGGTGTTGCACACAGGCTGTTACCCAACTGCACTGCGACTGTAGCCATAGAAGTTTGAAATTCCTGAGTGTGAATTAAATTGCAAATGTATCATTCTTGCCGCAAAGTCATGTACGTGAGAGAAAACAATTCTGTCTTGCTCTCTGCATTCCTTACAAACTCAGAAAATTTTATCCCCTACAGTTTTAAGGGGATGTGAGCACTGCGACTATGAGGGTGCTAGAAAAGAAAACCCCACAAGCCAGGAGCAATCCCTAAAAAAGAGGAGACAAACATGAGCAGTGCATGGCCCTGCAAAAGGCTGACACCTTGTTCAGAGCAGTGACAGTGAGTGCTGGTGTCCCTGGTGTGACAGACAGGGCTCTTCTCTTCCTGCCCCCCAAGCTGTGGCCTCTGGCATGTGTCAGTTTGTTTGCTGCTTTAAAGGCTCATTGGCGATACAAGACTGGTTTATGGTTAGAGCCATCCTGCAGGAGAAAGGAGAAATCAGTGTGGTAGGGATTATTGTGGAGATTTGTTCGAGGAAAGAGGGAAAGGTTGTCAATGTGGTTTGTGTATGCAGACTTACTGGAGAAGATGGAGTAGGTTGGTCACTGTCTTGCAGAAGAGCAAGCTCAGGGGAATTTGCTGTGTACCTGACAGAGAATGTGATGCACCACCTGGAATCTGAAGTATGACAAATTCATATTATAGAAAAGGTGTACATTTTAACAATGGAAGTCATCAACCTCTGGAACAATGTGCAGAGTGTATATACATACACACAAAAAATAACTATTTTAATTAAACATTCTTATATAAATCTTTGATATTTTTAAAAGATGTTCCCTTTCAACTACAAGTTGTTGAGCTTGGTACAGGAATAATTTGGTTTAGTTTTGGGGCTTGTTCTGTGTTGAACTTTATACAGTGTTTTTATATAAGTTATTTGACATGAGATTTGTTAATAATTGATGGTAGACTGATCACGGTCCTAGCTGTGTCATGGTTTTTAGAGATGGTAGCATAAGTATGCTTACTTGGGTTGCTCTCCATAGTCCTGCAGTTCTGTGCTGTTGTGCTCTCCAGCTCATGAGAGGTGTCTGACCAGGTGTCACAGGCTGGTGTGAAAGAGAGCTTTAACTGTGTGGATTTCAGTGTTGCAGAATTAGTTCTTTCCAATACCTACGTAGTCTTCTGGAAAGGTGTATTTTTTTAAAATACTTTAAATGTCTGAATAGGAAATTCCATAGTGATAGTCTAGTCTGTAATGAATTAAATGTCTCAAAAACATTTTTTTGAATGCTGTTGTTTTCTCTGATTCCCTACCCTCGTCCTGACAACCAGGATGCAGAGGAAAGTTTATAATTAATAGTACCTGTGGGACTAAAGAATCTATGTCTTCCTCATCACTTCTCTTCCAGAAGAGTATTGACTCTGCTTGTTGTTAAAGACAAATTGTTCAGTTAAATTTAAATTCCCTTACCAATATTTTTCTATAATGCTTGTGCTTATTCTGGGTATTAATGCATTGTTTTTCCTGAACACAGGCTAAATTTAACCCATTTATTTAAACATCTTTGATTGTCTTTTTGTGTGTAAAAGAGTACCTAATTACTTATGAAATATTCATTTCTGTAGAAAATGGAGTGCTCAATGTATGTTTCTGTTTTTTCAGGCTAAAGCCTATCTAAAGATAGCTATGGAAATATTAAGAAGACTGCCAGTACCTCCTGCTTGAAGCATTTACCACTGAAATTTAGCAAAAAAGTGATCTTTGATGCAGCCAGTGCAGAAGAGTCCTGTTACCTAAATACATGGATGCCATATGTTAGTTCTAAGAACTTCTTTAGGAATGAATTTACCAGAGGTTCAATTATGATTGTGATAATTACTGTTTTTCACATCATTGTTTGGCCATGTCCAAGAGGATTCAAGTATGCAAATGAGGAGAGACAGTATTTAACTGCTGAATTGTAACATCATCAAGCAAGAAGGGATGAAGTACATGTTTTCCGTGTGCCCTATTTTAAAGTCAAGAATGAAAAACAGCCTCTCCATGCAAGTAGAACAATGGTATGCCAAGACATAAATTTAATTTTTAAGCGGGATTTTCAGTAGTCTAATTTCCTTCAGTTTTTGTTCAGATTTTTACATGGGTAGCTATCAAACTGACCTTAAGTTCTGCAGAATTTTAAGAAGCAAAATCAGTTCTGTAACTGCTGTGCTTTTCTGTGTTCATCCTAAAAGAAGATTAAAAAATTCCACATATACTCTGAAGAGTTCTTGTGATGGATGATGAACAAATTCATTCATTATCGGACAAAGTTTGATCGTGAGGCAATTCACAGTTTCGTGCAGAATGGATTACGTGACCCTGAGGCTTATTTCTCAGCTGTTTTACATTATAATGAACCCAGACAGAAGACAAGGTAACAGAGGTCTTCACTGAAAACCAGATGTTTTTCCTGAGCTCAGTTTGCCACGGAATGCAAATGATCAAGATAAATTAAATTTGTGATTGTATATTCCTACTACAGTGCAGCAACTTGGAATTTGAATATAAAGATATATTTTTGAAGTAAAGAAATATTTGGTCTTCAAACTGCGTGACCTTCTGGTTTATTTTTTTATTGCCTGTGATCTTTGTGTTGGTGTGTGGAAGTGAGAGATTATGCCTTCAGGGAGTAAGTTTTCATTTACAGTTAGGTCTTGGAGTTGACATTTAGGCTTTTCTGTCTACACAGCCAAGTATCGGTATCTTAAACGTACATCGTAACCCTACCAGAGAGTGAAGTTAACATGATAGGGAGTTCTGCTATTGACCTCTGAGGGACCAAGTTTTTCCCTGTATTCCAAGTACTTAGTCAGGATTTTGGATGTAGTTTTTTCTTTTTGAAATGATACAACATAAAAAAATGGTGTACATTTACATTAGAATATTTAAGTAATATTCTTACCCAGAGTTTAGATGAAAAATCTAGACACAAGTGATGAATTGAATTTCAAGCTTAGGTGATTTTCTGATATGTAAATTATATAGTCCAAAGCCGTTGATTTTTTGCATCGAGTCAATCTCTGAACCTCCTTCCCTGCACCCTCCCCCATGAAATCTCATATCAGTGGTCAACTTTTTCAGTGGCATATTATTGTGGTCTGTAGAATTGACAAAATACTCCGTTCCTGTCAGTTGTCTGATGTATTTTACAAAACTTAAAGGTGGCTTAGTGTTCTGCCTATGAATGATGCTTACTGTTCATACTTCATTGATAACATTTTTTAAAATGTTATCATTTAATGATAACATTTTTTTAAAATAAAGTTTTGTCTTTACATAGTTATTAGCTTTGCTTCACATAGCATAATTGTTGATATGCATGTCTGTAAATAATCCTTTGATGATTTTGGCTAGTATATTCTTATATTTCAGTGGAACAACCAGGATTTATGACTGTTTTTTAGCAAAAGACAGTGATATAATCTGAATGTTAGTATTTGTAATTCTCATTCTGTTAAAAAGTTTTTGAATGTCTGACACCCAGTTCATGTTGAGCTTGGGTGAACAATCAGTATACAGATAGGTGGTTGTTTCTTTCTCATTATTTCTTGAGTTAGTTGAAGAATGCAATTTGCTTTCAAGTTTTCTTTTCTTTTCTTTCTTTTTACCTTTTTTTTCCCCCTTTTAATTAAGTACTGTTGTTTTGCTCTGTTGAATCTTTCAGCTGCAGAATTATTTTGAATGCCTTTGTCAAGAAACTATGTTATAATGATTAAGCACAGTTTCTGTGCCAGGCTGAAAATTCATATTTAGTTAACAGTTTTGTGGAAAGGTTACACAATGTAGTTGATTTATTGATACATACATGCATACATATATATATGTAATTGTACAGAATTGGTAGGACATTTCTGTGTTTAAGGATTCCAACAGTCAACCTAAATTTAAATTGAGAACATATTTGCTTGATTTTCCTCACTCTCATGAGTGAAAAACTTTCCCAGACCTTCTCCTGCAAAGTAAATGAAGGGCACTGGCAAAGAGCTATTGCTTCTTAATGTTATGGAAATACATATTTGTATTTTTTTATTATATAGTACACTATTAATTACATAGTAATGAATTCCAGTCAACATACTACATTTGAAGTTGTGTTCATAAAATCATTGATGTAAGATGTTGAATGGGGGAGTTGGTTGGATCAGTTGGAGATTTAGCAGGAGAAGGTGGTATTTAGCTGTAGTTTATAAATATAAATTATAGGCTTGACACACAGTGCTGTTTGCTCTTTTCAGCTCCAATATTTCACTTTATTCTAATTGATATTCCCTAGCGTGCTAATATGTTTTTGTTCTAAAAATGCTAATCCTAGCAGGAGGCCCTGGCTTTTCCAAGCGGTATGGGTAGATGCTTTTTGCTCACCAGCAAGGGAGAGTTACTGTACTCCTGGGTTAGCAGCACAGAATTACTGGAGTCTGTAGCACTGTGAGTTCAGTTGCACACTGGAAAATCCCACAGAGAAAGAAAGAGGAAGGCTAGGGAAGCACAGGACCAAACAGGCAGGAATGGGGACAGAGGCAGTTGTCAGTCCCAGTTTAACTCCTGTGTAGGTTAGCAGCAAGATTCTCAAGACTCCCAAAATCCTTCTGCGTTGCTGTCAGACATAGTTTTGTGTTGACAACATGACCCTTTGTATAGTGACCACATTTCTTGTGTTTGCAGATAATCCCCGCAGTTTCTTGGGTGAGGAGCCTACGGGCTGTGTCTTAACACAGCACATTTCTTGTCTTTCAGAAGTTTTTGGTTTTAATGGAAATTAAACTGAAGGAAGGTACGGAATTGTTTGTGCTAGTGAAGTATTCTGCTATAAATTTTTTACTGCTATGTTCAGCTAATAAATTGTTCAGCCTTTGAGACTATGGTATGTGCAATACTTGGGTGCTAGATCCTCACAACAAAAAAACCCTGTTATTTGAAGTTATGAGAAAAAAGTAGTTTGCAGGTTTTGTCTACTAATTCAATTAAAGTTCAGACTAACACCTGTTTAGTTGCTCTGATTGAGGTTATGAACTAATATTAATGCAGAGGAGAAGTGGCAGAAGCAGGTCATTTCAGTGTATTAACAAAACACCTCCAGTAAGTCTGAATTTATTTCCTACAGTTGGACTCACTTAGATCCAGTTCAGCAAGTGGAACCCCCTTTAACAACTTTCCCATAGGAAGTGTGGGTTTCACTTTGACCGACTGCTGTGTGATAATTTACATTTTGGGATTTTGGTACTTACGTGCAAAGCTTCTTTCAGAGCGTCCCCAGTCCTGACACTGACACTTGAGCTCAGTACCCAACTGCCCAGGTCACAGGAGGTGCTCTTGTCCTTGCAGGTGCTGCTGGGGACAGGGTCTCCATGCTTATTTTCCTACATGGTTTGCAGTAGTTGTCCAAGACACGAGAAACTTGTTCTACACCCAGCTTTGGTTAAGAAGATTCAAATCCATAGCTCCTAAACTTAGGAGAGGTCTTCAGTCACCCGGCTTAGTCTTTGCTCAGGACCATCATGGAATGTTCATGACTCCTGATAAAGCTGTATTGCTTGTGGAGGAAGTAAAGAAGTGCTAATCACAGCTGATTTTTTTTTTTTTTTTTGGCTAAATGGCTTGGGCTAAGCTTTCTTTGATCCTTGTTCTCAGCCTTATTGATTGCTTTTAGCTAACGAGGCTATGAATAAAATTATCAATTCTTAATTTAATGCCTGGCATTTTAGATGCTTATAAATTTGAGATAAAGCTCTAGGGTTTTGCATTTGGATTTTGATACCCACATGTCATTTTTTTTTTTCCTCTGGGCCACATCTGGGCCTATATTGTTGTTGTCATTTTTATTTAACAGAAATGCTTCCTGGTGGAGATGGCTGGGGGAAAGCCTCCTACTTAAGAACAGTTTACCGTAAGATGAATCTGAATTGCTGATTTAATTTCAGAATTGACTTATAATGGCAGGAGTTATAGTGATGATTACATTTTATTTTTGCAGCATTTCAGCCAAGGCATTGGTTTGTCAGCCACATATCACAAAGAAGCAAAAGAAAAAATTGATTCCCAAAGTAGTTTTCAGCCTAAATTTAAGACGTGCCTTTTTTTTTTTCTCTCTGTTTTATGTTATAAAGATATTAAAGTGTGAAGAAAAAGTATATTCAAAGGTCTGTATTTTTCCATTATCTTTGTGTATTCGAGAGGGTGGGTGTTTTTCAGCAAGAAGAGGATGGGCACAGCCTGTTCTTCCTTATGCACCCATTTGTCTCAGTTTCTCCATTTGTATGAGTCTGGATCTGAATACCCACTTTAATCAATGCAAATAAAGGACTTCTCCTAGGGAGTGTGTGAGTCTCTGAACAAGCTAGTGGGAGGGAAGAACATCTGCTGTCCTTTAACATTGTTTTGAGGGCTTACAGATTTATTTGAAGTGTTTTCCCTCATACCATTGGGATTTTCTAAAATTTGTGTTATTTCCTGTGACCCAGAGGTTTTCTGTTTTCTTTGAGAGAAAGGCAGGAGACTCTCCACACTTGTCTACCCCATGTATGCATCCTGTTACTAAACAAGGTCTGTCTTCAAAATACAAACTTCTGGTTACTTTTTCTGAAAAGTTAGCTTATGACTAATGATTCTTATCCAATGGTTCTTATCACTTTTTACTTTTAGGGACAACTTTCCCCCCCCAAATAGTTATGGAGGAAATGCTATAATATATAAATGCTTTTAAAACCCCCAGTTTTGCTGCATATTTAGGAAGAATAAACAGGGTGAGAAACTATCTTTTTTAGCCAAACCCATATTTGGTAGGTGTAATTTTGGGATGTTTGTCCACTGTGTAAACGTTGCAAATATTTTATCTCATTTATTCAAGTGCTAAGTGAAGTTCAGGAGCCTGAACACTCTCCTGCCCAGCAGTAGGCATTTGAGGGTGATGTGGGATGAATCTGTAGCTGGTCAGACAGGCAGGGATGAGTTTCCACATTGACTTATTTGCTGAATTGGGAAGTTTCTACATGCCTCTTTTTAGACGAGGAATTTCCATATAAATGGGCCTTTGTCTGTGGTACCTTGAGGCCTCTGATTAATTACATTTCAGATGGAGTCAGGAGATTTTGGGTTTGCACTCCACACTTCCTTCTGCAGGATAATGGGGCCCAATGGCTATTTTGGAGAGTTAGTTTCTAAAATAAGTGGTAAAAGGCTGGGAAAATACACCTTGGCTTTGAAAACCAACCCCACATTTGTTCATGAGTGCCAGCACTACTGGCATCTCTTCTGTAATGCATTAGTATCCTAAGCTTTTAGAAAACCTGTTAGCACTTTTTAAAAATGTATTTCTTATTAACACAGTGCTACTTCACTTCTGTCTTATTTCTTGACAGTGTAAGTAAACTTCTTTTTGTAGAGGAGTTTTCCTTGCATTGTTAATGCATCCAAGAAGTTACTCCTCTAGAGAAATAAACAACAGAGCTGTTTATGCTGAGTACATTCTTCCCTGTAGGGTTAATATAGGAAATTGTAGTCACTGTCTCAGTGAATTGTTGATTTTGTTACTCTGATGGGATACACATCTT